GGAATGAAAGGCAGGAACTCACTGCCTCTCAAAGCGCTGCCATTCTCCCAACCTGTGCTGATTCTGCTGTGTGCCATTCAAATCTTCCTGGTCTCTGTGCCCAGGCTGCTGATCCTGCTCCAGGGACTGCAGCCCTGACATGTCGTGGCAGGCCAGAACTTTTGTGCTCTATTAGCTGGACCAGGCAACAAACCAGAAGGGAAGATTTAATCAGCCAGCAGCAGCCCAAGTTAACAGCACAGTGCAAAAAGCTCTCGGTGGCACCAGGAGTGCAGAAGGCAGCAAATGATTTCAGTAACAGCGAGAAGAGCACACATGGAGAGAGTAGAGAGCTGGAGGCATCAAAAACATTATGCCAACAGGTAACTTCTACTTAAGAAAGGCCCTGGGATGAAAAACAACAATGCAGGTTACAAAGGGTGATTTTAGAATTGTTTCCTGATTTCCTGGTCCAGGTTACCAGCGCTCTTGGAAAGCAGCAGGGTTCCAGTTTGCTCATGCAAAAGAGAAATTGATTCCTCACCTTTAACATAAGGTTATAAGTCTAGTTTACCTGCATGATACATACCAGCCCATTAAAAAAAAACAAAAAAAAACCCACCAAAAACCAAAGCCCACTTTTAGATTATGCTCAATTCACCAGGTTCTTCATGCATCCCGACACTCCCTAGACCACACTGCAGCAGCTAGCTCCACAGCCAGAATCTTTGGCTACCTAAATTATAATTCAAATGTAAAACTCCTGACTGGGACCTTAAGAAAAAAGCCTATATCTTGGAGGTGAAGCCTAGACTTCACCTACATCATAAAAAAAAAAAACCCTGCTAGATGCAATATTTTAAAGCCAAAGGAGAGAAAATTGCAAGTGCTAAGGAGCTGGACAGTCTGTCTTCCACCTCCAGGCCAGACATTTCCCTTCTGACAGCTAGTTAGTGATCTCTGAAGGATAAGCTGGTTGAGAGCCAGAATCCAGATCCCTTTGGAGAGAGGATGACGACACCAAAACCACCATAGTAATTCCTGGCAGCATCTCCACGGAGAGTTACAGCAGCAAAGGTGACTAAAACCTGTCCTCACCCTCCAGAGGAGGCTGAGGGCAGGCATGTGAGGTGGTGTGTGTCCTGCTGCTCTAGAGAAACCGCATGACTTCATATGGCTTTAGGAAATTGGGGCCTGCTATGCCAGAACCCATCATTAAACTTATATAAAATCTAATAACACTTTTTAAAAGTGTACTAATTGCCTTAGATAAAGTTATCCTTGAAAACAGGCTCTTAAACAGCATTTCAGAGCTTTTAGCTCTTCCAAATGCCTAGCATCAATTTTTCTGTCAGAGTAAGACTAATACAAGACGAATACAGCCTAAGTTCAGCAGTTGCACAAAGCAACACGTCACCAGAAATATCTCCCACTGATGACAGTAAAGCGTAGGGAACCCAGCAGGGATGTTTCACCATCTCATCTCCCTCCCATACATCCCGGTGCAGGACTCACCCAGTCGGGACGCTCGCCGAGATCCCCTTGCTGCAGAGCGGCGTCGGGAGAGGGTGGAGAGTAATCCTTCACGGGGGTGCTGTACTCCACGGGTCCCGTGCCAGGCAGCGGCAGCTTCAGCAGTGGGTAACTGTGATTAAGACAAAGGCAAGAAACGTTGCACTTTGGGTTTAACTAGGATTTTAGACAGAAGAACTTCAAAAAATGAAAAATGAGCCCATTCCAGCTTAATCCAATCTCTGCAGGACAAGAGACGCAGCTGGGCTTCGGCTTTTATAGGAACTGTTTGATGTGTTTCCCCAACACAAGAGATAACGCAAATAAAAATCCTGGAAGAAAAAGAAGGGAAGTTCTTGCAGGACCTCACTGCAATTACTCTCCATCACCTGAAAGTTAGTAATGCTAAAACATGAAGTACAGCCACATCTCAACAATTTTGTAGCCCATGCAAAAATCAGACATTCATTGTATTCAGATGGCTGCTGTCCTGACCCAAGCCCTACCCTAATCACCCTTTCCTGACCCAAGCCCTATCCTAATCATCTAATTCTTCTCATTAAGATTCCAACTATTTCCAATATTTGCCATTGACTTAATTGGTCCTCAAAGGGCTTTTAACAGTAGGAATGAGACACCAAAAAAGCTCCGAAATATTTATCTTCTTGCTCCTTTGCTACTGCAATCTTCAGATTGTAGCAGCTAGCCCACAACAAATACTGCAAACTATTTGAAAGTTGAGGTATTGAGGTTTCAGAGTTTAGAATATTGGTTTTAGCTCCAGAGGTTCTCAAAAGTGATTAAAATCATATCAGAGCTGAACTGGTGGAAAAAGCAAGACTGCTGTTACAGAGATATCGACAAAGAGGCTGGACCTGTCAGCACCACAATGAACCCTAGAGTATAACTTCTGTCTTTTGTTGTCTGACACACAACACGCTATCAGGTCTTAAATTTCTGACGTATTATCCTGTTTATAGCTGAACTTTTCTTGCAATATTGCCAGAATAAGTATCAAGACGTTGGAATGGTTTTCGTGCAGTACTCTGCCCACTTCGTTAGGGGTTAGCCTCAATCATCAAAGGCCATGGAGGGGACAAGCACCAGCTACAGACAAGGTAAAAAGCTGAAAAGAGCAATGAAGTCAGAAGCAAAGCTTGTTGGATTTGCTGTTTTATTAGTCTGACAAAAGTACATCATCTAATTATTATCATTTCAGTGTGCAATGGGAGGGAAGATAAAAAAATAATGAAATCATGTTGTAATACATCAGAAAATGCCCAATGAAAGCCCCGATCTGCAGACATGACCCAGCCTCTTCTCTCTCACCAGCAGCAATCAGTTTTAGCCCTTCTCAACGACACATAGCACCTGCTTGTCACAAATGATCTGCTGAAAACAAAAGCCTGGGGGAGACACATACAGCAACCATCCCATGTCTGACTGAGGCTGAGACAGAGAGAAATTAAAATAATAAAATCCAGTCTGTGTGATAAATGAAACAGAATGAGTTGCACAGGTGACCGAGGAAGAATGATTTTTGTTTCACTCAATTATTTTGATGTTGATGACCAAGTGTTTCAAGAAAACTAAGGAAAACACTTTAGATTTACACCACACGCTTATCCAGAGGTGGATTCCCCTGTGCAATTGCCTGTCGCTTTTAAGGAGTCAGAACAATCATCTTTTCTAGAACTTATTCAAAATTCAAGGCACAAAACCAGCCAGCGCGTTGCAGAAGCAACAATGGGTCATGCCAATTTTGCCTCCCAAGCACTAGTGGAGCAGCTCAGGCTTCAGAAGTGACCTGGTCTCTTCTCTGGCTGAAGCTCCATCTCCAGGACCAGGCTCTTGTATGACACACCGAAACAACAGTGCCCGGGGCTGCACCTGACCAGCCTCCACATCCAGACGCTACAGGAAATGCCATGAGCAACGCAGCTGACGGCTGCATCTCCACGGTCAGCGGTGAAGAGCTGGCTGCTGCCAGAGGTCCGAGCTGTGGCTCCAAGTCCAGGGTGATGGAAACACTGAGCTCTTCTGGATGCTGAACATTTCACAAGGACTTCTTCCTTGGTTAGCAAGAGTCAGCTAGCCCTGCACACAATCCTACCTTGAAAACTCTTTCAACTCTTCTTTTCTTTCAAAGCAAAAACGCCCTATATCTTGGCAGAGGTCTAACGGATTTTTTTTCCACTTCCTGAAGACCTGCTGGGATGCAAGGATTGTGCCCTCTTACTACCTGCTAGGTATGGAAAACTCTTTTCTGTAGCCAGAGATTGATTTCAGTGAGTGCAATGAGCTCAGCCTCCAGAAGCAATAAATTCCTACACCCCCGGGAGATTATTGCATCCCTTCATCCCATTCGCCCACATCCAGCCTGGGGAACCTCATCCTGCTCATCCAGCAGAGCAGCTCTAAACCCAGCCTGAGCCGGGAAGAATGACCTCCAGAGGTGATGGCCAGCCTCATCAGCCTGTACGGCCACAGCTAGCCCAGTGGAGGCCACCAAAATGGTGATGTGGCAGGAGAACACGGTGCAGAAGGAGGCATTGGGTTAACTGGACTCATCCAGCCTCCCAATAAGCAGTTGTAGGCCAGCAGTAAAATCATCCCTGAGCTGACTTAAGGCTGAAGATACTCAGTCCTCAGCCTCTCCTCCTCCATTTACACTCCAGCTCCCCACTCCAACAGCTCTGCTGGACGTGCTCCAGTATGCCAACACCTTCCTCGTACTGCAGAGCCCCAGACTGGAGGCAGGACTGTGGCTTCACAAAGACCAAACAGAGGGAAGACTCCCTTCCTGAACCCCGCTGGCTACACCCTTGATAGTGCAGCCCAGGACGCAGCTGACCTTTCTGCCCATGGACACGCTGCCTGACTCACGTCGCACTTGTCCTTTCCAGCCTGTCCTGCTCCAGGGGCTTATTCCACTCCAGGCTGAGGGCTCTGCATTTGTCCTTTTGCCTTTGCTGAGCTTCCCGAGGCTCCTGTTGGTCCATCCTCCCAACGTGTCTCTGAGTGGCAACCATGCTCTCCACCCTACTGACTGCTCTCTCCCATGATCTATAAACTTGGTGAGCGTGCACTCTGCTCCTTCGTCTAGCTTGTTAACAGCGGTGTTAAACAGACCTCACCCCTGATCGTGGACTAGGGAGTTCACACGAACTGCTGGCAGAGCTCTGGGTGCAGCAACTTGCAGGATGGAGACAGGAGAACAGCCGGGAAGGGCGAATAACCTAGACTTCCACAGCTGTCTGCAAAATAACAACCTGGCCAAACCCATGGGTGTTTTGTCAGTATTGAGCATGTCACATCAAGCAGATCTGGGTCCTGTTACACGCTTTTCTGTGCTTGAAGCCACAAAGGAAGGCTTTAAGGTGCCAGCTTACATACCACAGAAACTTGGATTAAAAAGTGTTTCTATATTTAAAAAACCCCTAGCCTCTGGAGATGGTTCTCAGTTGCTCCACCAGGTCAGTCCTCATCCACTGGTATCTTTACACCTGAATAAAATCACTTCATGGCCAAAAAACACGCCTGTGGCCAGAGTAGAGTGGCGATGCGCGTCAGCTCCTCTGCTATTGAACGATTTCCTCCTACATACGTACATGCTGCTCACAGCAGCCAGGGCTTAACTACGGAAGCCACCTGAGAAGAGGGGAAGGAGGAAAGTTCATCTAAACAATGGCAATTTTATACAGGTTCCACTTAGCTTGGGGTTACCTCGGAGAAAGACGTAAGACCGGGCAGGCTGCCTGAGGGCAGCTAACAGGAAGGTTAGCTGAGAATTCAGTATTTGTTTTTTCTGTGTTAAGAAAGAGTTTGATTTTCTGTAGAGGGGAAGAAGCAAACCACTCCCATCCTGAGGTGCAAGCCGCCTCCCAAAATACAGGACACAGCAGCTCACAGCTCCTTAATGGCTGTTTTAAATGATCAAGGGGCTTTTGTTTTGTTGGGTTTTATTTTTCATCTCAGTATTTTAAAACTTGTCAAAAACATTTGAAAGTACATTCAAAATGCAGTGGAGGACAGAACACAGTCTTGGAAGACTCAAGGGCAACAAAATGAGGGGAAGAACAAAAGGGACATTTCTGACAGAAGAGAAAAAAAATCTAGAGATGTCTGCGCATTGCTGAGGACTGCATCCTCCTGCAGCTGTCAGCAAACCAAGGCAACAAACTCCCATATCCCACCATCCTCTTCAGGTCTGGTATCTAAAATCAACTTCAGCATCTCCCTGCCATTTGACTAAATCACGACTCTGGAACAGGATTTATGCCATAGGAAAAGATCTATATGCTCCCTACAATCCATATTTTTAATCCACCCCTACAGTAGGCAAGGAAGAGGCAAGTGACATCTAACCACAGTTATTCAGACTGTCTACCTCTTGCTCGTGTGACACACAACAGCGTTAGATTTCCTCCATCCAGTCTGCAGTCCCCTAGAAGCTAATGAGTCCTAATTCTAACTCATCACTGCTAAAGACAGTGAGGCAACACTCTGGAGCCATGGCTTTACTCTTACAGGTTATTACCTTCACCCAGAGCAAGAGCTTTTGTCTTTGGTGATCTTCATATGTTTTAAAGAGGGTAGATTTAGACATAAGGAGGAAATGTTTTCCTGTGCGAGTGGTGAGGCAGTGGCCCAGGGTGCCCAGAGAAGCTGTGGATGCCCCATCCCTGGAGGGGTTCAAGGCCAGCCTGGATGAGGCTTTGGGCAACCTGGGCTAGTGGGAGGGGTCCCTGCCCATGGCAGGGGGTGGCACTGGGTGGGCTTTGAGGTCCCTTCCCACCCAGACCAGTCTGGAATTCTACGATTTTATATTTTACTGAAACTAAAAGAGCTGTGGCAGCCGCGGTATGAGAAGACACCAATGTGCACCCACCAGGAACAGGACTTCCTAGCAGATCGTCTAGCACGCACACACAAAAAAAGGCTGAGACTATTTTTTATTATAATCCTCATTTTCAGCAACTGTCTTCAGAGAAAAGGTGCCACAGAAAACCCATATTTAAGATTTAAATAAAAGATTAAAACAGACCCCGTTGTCTATCCCCTCCTATGTTTAGCCTCTACAGTCCTGACTGCCACATGATCTAGACAGTGCAGATCGCTCACGGCGTTGTT